GTCTTTTTCTGAAAATAAGTGTACCCTTTACCAAGAAACCTCATGTGCTTAGCTCAAAATTTTACCCAGGATGGAATGTTCCTAGCAAAAAGGGCAGCCTTAAACTAATTCCCTGGACATTACTGTGTCATCTAAAATGATTTAGACCTTATTCCATGTTTTCAGTATTGTTATATATGAGTACAGTATTTAATTTCACATGTGGCTGTCATTCCAGGAAGAGGCAGATATGGGAATTATTGAGAGGATCCAGTTGAAGAATTTCATGTGTCATACCCGCCTGGACTTCCCTTTCTGCCCAAACATCAACTTCATCACTGGAAACAATGGCAGTAAGTGACACAATGGGGTCAGATCAGTTGGAAGATTTTATAAACTGAAACCACACTTTTCTTTGGCTGATGACAGGGCTTGACATTAAGGGTGGCCCACTGGCCCTGGGCCACTGAAAACCAACCTAGGGCCATTGAATCGATGGGGTCACTGACCCAAAGACCAAGTAAAATGTCATGTGTCAAATCATCCTTGCAATATTTACCCATATCGCGGGCCAGTATCGAAAAAAGTTAGTGTCAAGCCCTGGATGATGGCAAGCTTATATTGCACTTAAATTAATTAAAAAATTGTCTCTTTTCCTTGCTGCTGTCTATTATGTCTTTGGTGCACTACAGTAGCATAAGGGCCTTACCATAGTATTCTTCTTCTACTGAACTGATATTGCCAAGAGTCAAATTTTTTCCCTCCATTTCTACTCAATTGATTGAACTCAAAAGAGTTAAGATAAGGTGGTGTTGCTGTTTCCATCGTTTTTATGGGATGTTAAATATGAAAAAGCTCTGGTGGATGGGAAAGATGTGATGTGATATAGGGAAAATACTTTGGAGGGCCCATTTAAAATTATCATAATAGCTTAAAATGTTTAACTGCTCAAAGATTAAAATTACATATCTGAGAAATTGTTAGTTTTTCCTCATTGAAAAGATGGAGTCATTACTATATTATAATCTTCGTTCTCCTCCAGGTGGTAAGAGCGCCATCCTGTCACAAATCTTATGCTATCATGAGTCTTAAAGGCAGATGCATGTATCTTAATTTTTCATTCTCTCCCCCAGGTGGTAAGAGTGCCATCCTGACAGGGCTGGTGGTGGGCCTGGGGGGAGGGGCCAAGGCCACCAGCAGAGGAACGTCTGTCAGAGGATTCATCAAGAATGGAAAACAGTAAGGATATATTTCATGAAAGTCTTGGTAGTGCTAGCAATTTTGTTCGCTTAGCCAAATCACCATTTTTTTGTCATTGTCATTTGGTTATTCAAATGGTTATAATTTGACTAAAACAAATCAAATCAAGCCCTTTTCGTTTAGCCACTTTAAGCCAGTTTTAGTTAAATTGACAAGTTTAGCGCTACCCCAGAAAGAGATATTTGTAATCTCCACATGCTCACTGGTAATGTTTACATAAAAATCCATTAAAGTTTTACTAAAACTTGACATTGAAACTTAATTGTTTCTTGTAGCCATCAGTATTTCTCGAATGTAAAAGAGTGGCACTTTTATTTATTATTTAAAATATTCATATAATTTCAATTTTAGGAGTGGTGAGGTTATTATCAAGTTGAGAAACAGAGGTTCTGAAGCCTTTAAACATGACCAATATGGAGACTCCATCATAATTAAGCGAACAATGAAAGCTGTTGGGGGATCTGCCTACAGGCTGGAAAATGCTGAAGGTAACTTGGTTTTCACCTAACACAGCCGGTGATACTTACCAGGAGTTGGTACCACCTCTCTGATCTAATTTTCCATGCTTGTTTTGAACTTTACTACTCGTGTTGTTTTGAGCTTTCTTGTATAGATATATATCCATGTAATCAGGGATTGCAAATTCTTTTGAAAGATTTCCTGCATATATATGCCATTCTTTGTTTTCTTGTTCATTATACGAGTGATTTAGTAACAAATTTTGTTCCTCCAGGTAAACTGGTGTCCAATAAGAAAGAGGAACTTGACCACATCGTGGACCACTTCAACATCCAGATCAACAACCCAGTGGCAGTGCTGAACCAGGACACCAGCAGAAACTTTCTCCACTCCAAAAACCCCAATGATAAATATAAGGTAGTTTGAGACATTGATAGATATTTTTGGCAGTCATGTATGCATCGTTTTGTCATGATAAATGTTATGTGTTATATATTTATGCTTCATTAGATTTGTAAGTTGTCTCTTACACCACCCTAGCATCTATTAATGTTTACTGATAAAATGCAGTTAAAATTTTATTTTCTGAAAGTTACCAAGGCTTTGTTGAAAATATTTCCTGAAATTGTGCCTGATACGTAATGCCATGAAGAAAGAAGTGTCAGAAAGTTGCTATTTCCGAATCTGCTTCAGCCAAATTACACTCTGTTTCTTTTATTTTCTAGTTCTTTCTGAAGGCCACCCAGTTGGAACAAATGAAGCAAGACTACTGCAGTATTACCGAGCAGATGGAAATCACCAAAGGAATCATCTCAACCAAAGAAACCGTAAGTCTAAGAGCATCTTTGTACAAGGTAATATACTGTCTATCTTGGATGGAAGTCAATATACAAATAAAACTATGGCTGTGTGTTTGATATGACATCACATGACGTGATATGATAAGAAAACTTATAGAGCATAAATACTGAGATATTTTACATACAGTATGTTAAGATATTAATACAGAAATGTAGGAGGAGTGAGGCTCACTGAGGGCAGGGAATACCTTTTGCGTTCACGGTTCTGTGTGACTGGCCTTATTTTTCGAGCGTGACACGTTATTTGAGGCCAATATTCTGCGTGAAATGTGATTCAAGAATTCTTGGTGATTGGCCTGAATATATCTTGGTGATTGGTGATTGACCTGTTTTTATCTGGGTAGTTGGTGATTGGGGGTGGGGGGGTATTCCCTGCCCTCTTCAGAGGTACATTGGGTAGCAGTTTCTTAATCTTGGATCTTGTCAATTTCTGTGCAGACTGTCCCCACCCTCCACGCTGAGGTGCTGGAGTGGGAGAAGAAGTTCAAGGCCGTCCAGAACTGTGACGACCTCAGGGGAAAGATACAGGCCTTGAAAAACGAGATTGCCTGGGCCATTGTTATCGAATGTGAGGAGGTCAGTCAGCCATTTTGTTAAAAGAAGAATAAAGGATTGAATATTTTCAATAAGTAGATAAGATATTAAAATGCATCAGGTAATACATATGGTGCATTTCATATATTACTTGACTACATTAATCAGTCTTTTCAGTGTAGGACTTACAATGGATGAATAAAAGGTTATCCATTTTCATTGGTTTCTAAATCTTACTTAACAATATGTATTAGCAGCATACATTTAAAATGTGTATTTCGAAATACAATTATAAAACAAAGTATCATTATACTATAGTCTGTTGAATGCAATTATGAAAGNAAAGATAAGTCATAACTGACAGCAATATTTCATGTCATACTTTATGACAATCCTGCATACATTCTTCCTTGAGTCCATAAGGGTTTATCCTGATGATCAGCTCAAATTTCTCCTTATAGCTATCCTTTATGAAAAAAGTTGCTTCTATGTAAGGTTAAACATGATTACACATTAAACTCTCTCAAACTATAACTGTTATTACCCAATGAACAAGAAAAATGAAGTACAAGATAACTGAACTATCTTCTGACAACACGATGTTGGATAAGTAGCATTTGGTAGGATTTCATGTTTTTAGACTGTCTTGAGTTCATATTGGTCGATCCTGCTGAACAGCTGAAGCTTCAGCTTGTATATATCCTTTTCCCTTTGGTGTACTTGATCGCGATATGAAGTTTATTTTATTTTATTTGGTTCACCTATATTACCGCTACTATTCCCCGTCGTTCATTCCCTCCAGCATGGCCGCGGGACTAGTGTTACGGAGCAAATATGACGTCACTGTAATGGGTTAATTTATTACACACGAGACAGAAAATATTATTATTATTATAATTAACAAATGAAACCATAATTTTATTAGAGTAAACAGAATAACCTATTTTACATGTTGCGAATTTTGATTTAAAAACTTGTATTGCCCTCCATTCTACATTTCAAATAAGAGTTGTGCTCTTGTTTTTTCCCAGTAATGGCAGAGGACAGGGAAATACTCCGTGAAATCTGGGACGGCCGGGTCCCGATCTGTTTCTCTTTGGCCAGTGATGAAATATTTACATTGGAGCATCCTGATCCTTTCTTTGTAAGTATGTTTTAACTAGAAAAAAATCTCCGAATGATGAGTATATTATTATTTCAGTGTGGTTCACTTGAGTGTGATCCAGGTGTTTTTAATGTAACCTTTACACACTGGGGGTAGTACAGTTATACCAGTAATCAGTATGAGCTTTGTAGTTCTACAGGGTATCAGTATGTTATTATTAACAGTTTAGTCTGCTGGATATTTCTTTAGCATGTGCTACGCTAGACAGCTTGCAGATGTAGCAAGTATGTGAAGAATGTTTTATTCACACATAAATGAAAATGCCTAATGAAGACACTGAGACTAAACATTTGCACATAATTATCAAAAGTATAATTTTTTTTTATAAATGAATGATTTAACATGTGCAAATCATTTTCCAGCTGTTAGTCCCAAGACAAAGTTATTTTCCACTGGCAACAGACAGAGTCCAGCGGACATTCCTGAAACATGTGGACCCTGATAACCACGGAGAGATGTGGCTGGAATATGAAAGCCAGCCTTTGAAGTGGTAAGTTTCAGGGCACATTCACAACCAGTTGATCGGTGGTCTAACTGGTCCTTGGATCAAATATAGTGCCACCCACTTGATAGTGTGCTGAGATATTATTTCTCTGCTTCTGCTAGGGTGGCAAGCATGGGACACTACAATCCATTGTCAAGTGCACGCCATGTTTGATCCAGTGACTAGTTAGTCAGTGGATCAGTTGGTACTGAATGCACCCTTAAACATCTCTTTTTGATGCAGGCAGTTTTTAGAAGTTAACCTTTCAATGTATTGTTTGTACAAATTTTCATTCACATATTTTCAGAATCTTCTTGTTATCAGTGATACAACGTACTGGGTAGTATAAGAGGGTGTCACACAGTTCATTTTTTTCCTTTCAGGCATTATCCAGTAGGCTTACTTTTTGATATGTATAACACAAAGGGCCCTCTTCCATGGAATATTACAGTGCATTTCCAGGTAATATTCTTGAATTTTTAAAAATATGGAAGTTTGTCAGAGCAAAATTATTGTTTGTGCACATGAGTAATCAAGAGCATTATAACATTGATAAAAAACAAGTAACACATTTTTTTCCCCAAAAGAATTTTCCAGAGGATGAGCTCCTCCACTGCCCAAGTAGAGATGCTGTAGAAGCCCACTTCATGGCCACTGTGAAAGAGGCAGACTCTTTAAAACACAGAGCACAAGTTATTAATTCTATGCAGAAAAAAGACCACAAGCAGTTATGGACAGGATTGCAGAATGGTAAGGAAATTTAAGTGTTTATATACTTAATGACCCATAAATACATACTTTTTTCTTCGAAAAAAATGACTAAATTTAAAGGTGAACAGATTAAAAATATTCACATTTCAATGCCAGTGATATTATACTTTTAAGTTGTATTACAGGCTGAAATATAAAAGTTGGCATCAAGTTATTTTCACAGGAAATGCATGCAAAACTATATACTAATAGATTCAATTTCATTTTGTCATTTTTGTTTTCCAGATAAGTTTGATCAGTTTTGGACCATCAACAGGAAGTTAATGGAGAGGTTAGGAGAGGAGGGTTTCAAGTACTTACCTTTCAGGATACATCAGGTATTAGCAGGTGTTAAAAGGGTTTGTGGGTATGAAATTTTAAAGTTTCCTGACAATTTTCAAGTGTTAATGGACCACCACTTTTCTGTTCATAATGTTTAGCTGAAGCTAAGTGAACCGTTACTTGTAGTTTCACTTCAAGTATTGGTACAGTTTTTGAGAAGGGCTCGTAAAGTCATTACCTTCAAATTATCTTTTTAAATGGACATGATTTTCAAGACCCTTTATAGGCTATTAGAAACTGAGATGGCAATATTTGTATTCTTTAATCCTGATATTAAACAGTTCCTGATGCCTGTTGGAAAAAAACCCTTAATTTCTATTGATTTGTTTTTCACAGCCTGAGAAGCCATTCATTCAGAAGTTATTTAAACCTGTGTCAGACGAGGGCAGGCTGTTTACACTAGCAGACTTACTGAGAGAGACGGTGCCACACATATTTGCTGATGGTAAGATTATTGTGGTCATATTGAGAGCTGTCTGATTCTTGTAAACAGATGCTGGTCAACATGCATATTGATGTTTACAACAGGGGTGCATCATGTTCTCATATTTTGTGTTTACTGTCTTAAATATCTTCTAACTTGACTGTAAGTTTGCCCCCACCCATTTAAACTAAACTGACAAATTGCTCACAACCATCTAAACTTAGTCCAGTTTTCTTTTTCATAAGAGGTTCATACTATGGAATGATATTTGATCATGTAGTACTTTCATCTTTTCAGATACCAGTGATGTCCTCAGGTGTGAGGTGTACATACAAGGAGTGAATCCACCTTTGGAAACGCCAGTACAATGGCTATCAGAACATTTCAGTTATCCTGATAATTTCCTACACATAGCTTTGGTCAATCCATCTTGAAACTCTGGAGAAAAAAAAAAACATAAAAGCAGGCCTGTAGCCATCAGTATTAGGGAGGGTGCTTTTCTGACGTGGATTGCAGTTGAACCAACCTGAACCTTGATTAAAATTTGATTTAGAGAGGACTTTTCCAGACAGAAGGACGGTTCTTTCAAACCTCCACCTGCCTACGAGACTGCGAAAGTGCAATAAAACTTCCACGTCAGTGTGCTGAGGAAGATTCTTCTGCTTTATGAGACTGCATTGTTGTGGCCTGTATGTATAAGAGAATTAAATGTGAAAGCACATTGTAAGTAATGTTATGTATGAATTTGCTGTAATTCTGTGACTAGGAAATACTGTGAAATTCTTAATTTTAACAAAAATTTTACCACTATTGAAAGTGATTGGTACTACTTGGAAGATAAGTTTTCAGTATGGAAGAGTTGTTCAAAAACTGAAGCAGCATCAATGAAAACTTGTATTACACGTCATGTAGAAAAGTATTCTGTTATGACAGATAATAAGTCGGGGAAAATTCGAGGTATATTGGTTATATTGGTTATATCAAGTACTGCTGGACGGCTAGGATTGTCTATTGGAGATTTTTACACAATTATTTCAGGCAATAGAAAAATCTTATTTGTCGTGTACTACTTTTGTAAAACACTCAATTTTTTCACTTCATTATTTTAATTTTTATTACTAATTATTTTATATATCATATAAATAAAACTGTACAAAAATATTTCAAGTTCTTTATTCTGATATCAGAAAATATTTTAAAATGGCGAGTTTGCTCAGAGCTTCTCTGGCATTTGGATCATCATTAGTGTAAGAACAACTGAGCCCCAATCCTTCCCCGATAAAATCCCAATTCTCTGCTTGTGACAAAGATTGTAGAGAAAAGTAACCTGCAGATGCTAGTTAAGCACGGAACAGTAACTTCAGGTACTTCTGCATATACCCTGTTTATCAATCCATTCAATTATCTGGACTTTTTAGTCCTTTTACACAACATTCAAGATTACCACTAGTACTTCCTTTCTCCTGGCAAAACTGACTTCCTACAGTTGACACATGGTCCAAGAATGTTTTAGGACCTCATAACTGTGTCACATGCAATATTCATTATCATGTATCATCAAGCAGAGTCAACAGTTGTAGTGGCAAAAGAGCTTCACTGAATATCACTTTTTCTGCTTGGCCCCATGGTTGGCAACTAGTCATCTGCATTGTTAAGGTCCAGAGCAATCACTTCTTCACGTCCAGTGCCAGTAGAAGACGGTAACAGACATGGAGATGTCTTACCAATGCCCGGCACCATTTCACACCACCTAGCATGAAGTTTTCTGATAGTCTGAACCCTTGAAGGTATTTTTTTTTTTTTGGAAAAATATTTTTTTCACTGATGTCCCTGTCATACTAATTCTCCACAGTCTGATATGACAACTTTTTGAAATGTTTTTCCATCTTTTGATCCAACACTCTGGAAAACAGAAGTTTTAATTAAGAATATTATGTTGAACCTTTCATCCACATCCAAGGCCTACTGATACAGAGGCAGCATCCAGCAGCTTCAACATTCTCTTCATCTCTTGTTTTAAAGATACTTTTAACAATTATCTTGTCCTTTTCTTTTCAAAATCACACTATTTAGTTTCCATCGATAAATCTGAGCTGGAATTTTGTTGCAAAATTTACCTCCATCTTTCTGACGACGTCCATGCCCTCAATGACCTGCCCAAAGACGACATGCTTCCCGTCCAGCCAGTCCGTCCTCTCCGTACAGATGAAGAACTGAGAACCATTGGTGTTAGGACCAGAGTTGGCCATGGACATGATTCCTGGAACAAAATTGGTCACTCCACATAAAACTCATTTCAAAATTTTATTCCAGAAAATCAAACATTTGTTTATATAGTAGCATTACACTACTGTACAAGTCGTTACACTATTGTACAAGGCAAAACATTTTTGACTTCCATGCTACTGATAAAATGAGAAATTGAAATATAAAAGACTTCTACCACCAAGTAGATTTCAGTAATATTTACTAAATTTTTTCTCAATCCTAGAGGTAATATTAATTTAACAGTTTAAGAACGAAACCACCTCAGTTTTGTCTTGTGCTGATGTCGAACATCTGCCACAATTAATCTAATAATGATTTATTTAAATCAATACCTGGACCAGTGTGTTTCAGAGCAAAATTTTCATCTTCAAATTTCTTGCCGTAGATGGACTTGCCTCCAGTGCCATTGTGGTTGGTGAAGTCCCCTCCTTGACACATCTGGGGGGGGCAGAGTTAAGTTTTAAAAAATAGAACACAAAAATACTGGGCTATACTTGTTCTTAACTTATTTTGTTACAGCATATTTCTTATCGTTACCTCTCTCCCTCCCTCTCTCTCTCTCGCTCTCAAAAATGGCCTGCAACTTTCAGGCTCTCAGTTAAGGAAAGGATACAAATTGTGGGATTATTCTGTGGAATATGCTGCCTTTGTAACCAAAGCCCTTTTCATGTGTGCACAAACATCTGAAGTTTTCTGAAAAGAGAAAAACAATAGTTCAAAACAAAAATACAACAGGGGCCTATCTTTCTTTAAAGCTGATAACCCAAACAATCATGGAAATACAAGGTACTCTACTGGTTGTGTTTGATAATATATACCAGAGAAATCCAATCTACTCTTGATTTCATAAAAAGGTCATACCTGCAGTTTTTGGTACCACATCTGCCCTCAGCTGTATCACAATTCTGCCGGCTGATTTACTGCCAATCTTCACTTCTAGATATACCTGGGGATTGGACTTGGACCTCTTGGCTGGTGCTGCACTCTGGTTGCATAAATGTAAACTTAATGGGTATCTTTATATATATACTACAACCTTCATGTTATCAACCATATGAAAACATCTAAGATTCTTAATGACTGATAGTGCTTGGATATGAGAAAGAGTTTTAACATACTTCAAATTCCACATAATGTGAAAAAAATCCACTAAATATTTCAACTTTATTCACTTCTGTATTTTGATAATTTTGTTTTTGTTTTCAAAAAACATTTTATTCTGAAATCTGGTAATTTCTAGACCTTTCACTCATTTCCTACTCACATCCTCGGCTTCCTCAGCAGGTCTCTTGTTGTTTGTCTCGTCCTCATTCTCTTTATCTCCCTTGCTCAGTGTCTCCCCAGCATGTTCCTGGAGCCAGGAGTCCTCCGACCATACTGGAAGAGCACATCATATATTAGATGTGGTAAAATTTAATACAAACTACAATTTTCTTTTCACACACACACAACAAAAAAAAAAAAAAAAAAAAAAAAAAAAATTTGTGTCATCAAAACAACTAAACAGACACCGAAACTCACATCAGGCATGGTGCTGTAGGAAAATTGATGTAGACTGTTTTTTTGTTTAATGTTTATGGCTAGTGTGCTCATTTTCAATAGCACTGAAGTTGCCAGTAGGAACTATTAAAGAGAAGCTCAACAATAGTACATCAAAAACAGCTACTTTCAAAATGAAATTCTTTGCAAGATGACGAGAAAAACAAGACAAGAATTGTACTGGAAAAGTAAAAGAAAAATAAAATAAAATACATGCCAATAATGTGATAGGCTCCATTCAGAATAGGGTACTAACTAGACAGAGGGTCAAATATGGCGACCCGCAACAAAGCTTGCCGTCTAATCCACTAATAGACACTGAATAGATTCTGGGGGATATATTCAATTGGGTTGGCCATATTTGACCCTCGGACAGTTAGTCCCCTATTCTGAATGGGGCCATAGTATAATCCTTGATGTTAATGAACTCACCAGCTCTGGAGGCTCCCTCTTTAATCTTCATAGGCTTGGCCAGATTGGTACGCACTGTTCTCCCAAATAACTCTGAATCATTCTAATCAACAGGAAAAATAATACGATTACAATTCTGTCCATCTCCAAGACAAAAATGCAGCGTAAACAACTACCTGAAGTATTCCTCCCATATGGTATTGGAAATTTTCATTACCGGATAGAAATTAAAATTTCACTTTATTCTATAAATAGATTTTGCTTAAAACATGTGCAAAGTTCTGTGAGTAGATAACATACTGTAATTTACCGAAATAATGTGCCAAAACATTAAATTAAAATAATAAAACAAATAGTAGACTCTGAAACAATATGCCCAAATATTAAAATAAAAAAATAAAACACATACTACACTTTCACTCACCATGTTATCAATGGCAGCTGCTGCATCTTCAGCCAGTTCAAACTCAACAAAAGCAAAACCTCTATGTTTCTCTGAATACAGAACATCAGTATCATATCACATACAGTTATGCCTTCAGGTCTGAAAATGGTCCCTGTGAGAGACACTGTTGTCAAATACAAGGTTATCAACAAGACATGCCTTTTGGAAGAATTTAGAATCAAATGACACTTCTAAGCTAAGGTATTCAACCTGTACTACCAAACACAAAAGTTTGTAATTAATGAGCCTCATAGCCTGATAGGTTATATAAGTACACTGTTATTTATTTATTTACTAATTCATCCATAATTATTCATTATTCTAACCATTGACAATTATAAAGGTTATTTTCTATGGGGTTCATATACATTCAACTGATCAAAGTGGCAGACAGCCTGGCGTGTCCCCCCCCCCTCCCCCGCCCCCTTCATTCTCTACTCTTTACCTGTCTCATAGTCCAATGGGATGTTTATATCTACAATATCACCAAATGGAATGAAAGCAGCATGGAGAATCTTCTCATCCACCTCCTCTGCAAGACCACCTTGAATTTAAAAGAAAAGAGAATATAATAACTTATCACAGCGTTAACATGAACATGAATGTGACTAAGACCCCATTCCCATAGATTTTAGATCGATATATCCCTGTGGGGAGTCTCAATAGATTACTGTCAGCTTAGCCGGTGTCACGTGAAGAAACCGTCGTCGTGAATAAACCGTTCTGACTGATTATTCACGCGGGGGTAGCAGTCTGTTGACTTACAGTACGTAGCTGCACATGCATTTTCAACATTTCCCAGTAGAGAAAGTTGTAGTATTATCAAAAACACAATTTCTTTTTAATGAAAATGACTGTACTCTGAATTGAAAGAACATTGTAGCATGAAAACATTTAGTACTACTAGTCTTAGATCTACCACGTTTTTCACACAGAGCCAAACAGTTCAGTCACGATCAAAAGCTCACTTCCAACATTCCCCCGTATACTGTAGTAATAAGATTATCAAATACAGACTCTCTCATGACGAAAACCACTGAATTATGAATTGAAAGATTTTAGTTCAGTGCAAACATAGCGCCTACTTAGGACGACATCGTCATACCGGAAGTTACTTCTTTCAATCTAAACTCAATGCGCATGTGCAGAACGGTTTCGTCACGGCACGGGTCTATCACGCCACACCGGTTTAAGCGTCTGTCCCGCCTACCAAAAACTGTAAGGGGGTAATTAACTACCGTGCGCGCTAAGCTGACTGCAATTTAGCGTGAACCCCCTGGGAGTTAGGTCGATCCAGATGGAACGATCTAAATCTCTGGGAATGCACTCCAATACTCTATAGATCAAGCCCCCCTCCCCATAATAAACACACACCGGCCGGCCTCATCAAGTTAACTAATACATTTGTGCAGCATCTCTGGTAGTACTTTTACTTTTTCATTGGACGAACTTCACAGGCCATGAGAGCGTTTAAACGCTAAGTATATTTTCAAGACGAAACTAGATCTCTGTTACAATCAAAACACGTGTTGTGCTGAAAGTATGAAATTTATCTCAACTTGTCAATTTCAACAGTTCATGCACGGTTTTCTCAAACGTGTTTTTCTTGTTTTCGTAAAACCCCACTATAAATATGCTGTGTGGTATTGCTTAGGTAAAAAGCTACTTTTAACTTTTATAATATAGGCAGATAATCTCCTTCAAGTAAGTGAAAGCCTTACCGACGTAAACTATCCGTTTGTTGCTCGCCATTCCTCCAACAATATGACCTACTTTCAAAGCGAGGCAAATTTGGATGCGCGCGGAAACGTCCGAGGTCAACACAAGATTTTGACGTCCAAATGAACTTGGTTTTCATTGTATTCTGCAATGTAGTATTGATGCATTTGAATCTTTAAACCCTACAGAGTCTGACAGTAAGTATCCATGCAGAAAAACCACTTCGTTCAAACATACACCAGTTTACTAGTGCCGTGTCAGTGTCAACCATCTTAAATTCTTGCCACTTGTGTTAAAGAGACATATGAGTTTTGGTTTATGTTACTTTTATTTAACATTGTTTTACATAATTGTTGCCATCATATTGTTTAGTTCGTTTTGTAACGGTCTTGGCCAATTCTCAACATTATCAAAATCAGTAGAAAAAGAAAGATAGCCTGGTACGTTGACTGAAAATGTGTTTTCAATGAATGTTTTGGCTAAATTTCAAGCAACAGCACCATGTCAAAGAGAAGAACCAACACAGAGCAGCACAGACCATTAAAGCGTATGAAGGATGAAGGCAGAAGTGACAATGATGATGATGACGGGGACATCATGGACCAGAGTCAGCGGCCTGATTTCAGGACTGCCAGCATGGGGGTGAGGAGGGGGGGGGGGGGGAGGGGGCAGTGACTCCTTCACTTTGGTTGAAACAGTCTTGATTAATCAACTTCAAAGTCAGCTGTTTTTAATGCAAAACAATTAGTGCAAAAATTTTGTACTACAGGCTCGCAGAGAGCATTTTCAGAGAGGGGGGGTCTTTTTCTGAAAATAAGTGTACCATTTACCAAGAAACCTCATGTGCTTAGCTCAAAATTTTACCCAGGACGGAATGTTCCTAGCAAAAAGGGCAGTCTTAAACTAATTCCCTGGACATTATTGTGTCATCTAAAATGATTTAGACCTTATTCCATGTTTTCAGTATTGTTATATATGAGTACAGTATTTAATTTCACATGTGGCTGTCATTCTAGGAAGAGGCAGATATGGGAATTATTGAGAGGATCCAGTTGAAGAATTTCATGTGTCATACCCGCCTGGACTTCCCTTTCTGCCCAAACATCAACTTCATCACTGGAAACAATGGCAGTAAGTGACACAATGGGGTCAGATCAGTTGGAAGATTTTATAAACTGAAACCACACTTTTCTTTGGCTGATGACAGGGCTTGACATTAAGGGTGGCCCACTGGCCCTGGGCCACTGAAAACCAACCTAGGGCCATTGAACGATGGGGTCACTGGCCCAAAGACCAAGTAAAATGTCATGTGTCAAATCATCCTTGCAATATTTACCCATATCGCGGGCCAGTATCGAAAAAAGTTAGTGTCAAGCCCTGGATGATGGCAAGCTTATATTGCACTTAAATTAATTAAAAAATTGTCTCTTTTCCTTGCTGCTGTCTATTATGTCTTTGGTGCACTACAGTAGCATAAGGGCCTTACCATAGTATTCTTCTTCTACTGAACTGATATTGCCAAGAGTCAAATTTTTTCCCTCCATTTCTACTCAATTGATTGAACTCAAAAGAGTTAAGATAAGGTGGTGTTGCTGTTTCCATCGTTTTTATGGGATGTTAAATATGAAAAAGCTCTGTTGGATGGGAAAGATGTGATGTGATACAGGGAAGATACTTTGGAGGGCCCATTTAAAATTATCATAATAGCTTAAAGGGATAATAACTCTTCGTATGAAATCTATATTTCACAATAAAAACATTGTGAATAACTCATAGAAATATAATATATTTTGTTTAATCACAAAAATGGCAGTTATAGCTATCTGAGCTTTTCTTTAGACCACGTGACCTCCATTGATGGCTATACTATGTTAAAATCTCTTAAGAGATTTTAACAAAAAAGCAAACTTTTTAGAAAAAAACCAGGGACTAACTTTGAATGTAAAAATGGATTCATTAACCATTGGTAAGTATGGGAAAATTGTTGCTTACTCCAGGAAAATTCATTTTTTGGTGGCAACGAAGAGTTATTATCCCTTTAAAATGTTTAACTGCTCAAAGATTAAAATTACATATCTGAGAAATTGTTAGTTTTTCCTCATTGAAAAGATGGAGTCATTACTATATTATAATCTTCGTTCTCCTCCAGGTGGTAAGAGCGCCATCCTGTCACAAATCTTATGCTATCATGAGTCTTAAAGGCAGATGCATGTATCTTAATTTTTCGTTCTCTCCCCCAGGTGGTAAGAGCGCCATCCTGACAGGGTTGGTAGTGGGCCTGGGGGGAGGTGCCAAGGCCACCAGCAGAGGAACGTCTGTCAGAGGATTCATCAAGAATGGAAAACAGTAAGGATATATTTCATGAAAGTCTTGGTAGTGCTAGCAATTTTGTTCGCTTAGCCAAATCACCATTTTTTTGTCAGTGTCATTTGGTTATTCAAATGGTTATAATTTGACTAAAACAAATCAAATCAAGCCCTTTTTGTTTAGCCACTTTAAGCCAGTTTTAGTTAAATTGACAAATTTAGCGCTACCCCAGAAAGAGATATTTGTAATGTCCACATGCTCACTGGTAATGTTTACATAAAAATCCATTAAAGTTTTATTAAAACTTGACATTGAAACTTAAGTGTTTCTTGTAGCCATCAGTATTTCTCGAATGTAAAAGAGTGGCACTTTTATTTATTATTTAAAATATTCATATAATTTCAATTTTAGGAGTGGTGAGGTTATTATCAAGTTGAGAAACAGAGGTTCTGAAGCCTTTAAACATGACCAATATGGAGACTCCATCATAATTAAGCGAACAGTGAAAGCTGTTGGGGGATCTGCCTACAGGCTGGAAAATGCTGAAGGTAACTTGGTTTTCACCTAACACAGCCGGTGATACTTACCAGGAGTTGGTACCACCTCTCTGATCTAATTTTCCATGCTTGTTTTGAACTTTACTACTCGTGTTGTTTTGAGCTTTCTTGTATAGATATATATCCATGTAATCAGGGATTGCAAATTCTTTTGAAAGATTTCCTGCATATATATGCCATTCTTTGTTTTCTTGTTCATTATACGAGTGATTTAGTAACAAATTTTGTTCCTCCAGGTAAACTGGTGTCCAATAAGAAAGAGGAACTTGACCACATCGTGGACCACTTCAACATCCAGATCAACAACCCAGTGGCAGTGCTGAACCAGGACACCAGCAGAAACTTTCTCCACTCCAAAAACCCCAATGATAAATATAAGGTAGTTTGAGACATTGATAGGTATTTTTGGCAGTCATGTATGCATCATTTTGTCATGATAAATGTTATGTGTTACATATTTATGCTTTATTAGATTTGTAAGTTGTCTCTTACACCTACCTAGCATCTATTAATGTTTATTGATAAAATGCAGTTTAAATTTTATTTTCTGAAAGTTACCAAGGCTTTGTTGAAAATATTTCCTGAAATTGTGCCTGATACGTAATGCCATGAAGAAAGAAGTGTCAGAAAGTTGCTATTTCCGAATCTGCTTCAGCCAAATTACACTCTGTTTCTTTTATTTTCTAGTTCTTTCTGAAGGCCACCCAGTTGGAACAAATGAAGCAAGACTACTGCAGTATTACCGAGCAGATGGAAATCACCAAAGGAATCATCTCAACCAAAGAAACCGTAAGTCTAAGAGCATCTTTGTACAAGGTAATATACTGTCTATCTTGGATGGAAGTCAATATACAAATAAAACTTTGGCAGTGTGTTTGATATGACATCACATGACGTGATATGATAAGAAAACTTATAGAGCATAAATACTGAGATATTTTACATACAGTATGTTAAGATATTTATACAGAAATGTAGGAGGAGTGAGGTTCACTGAGGGCAGGGAATACCTTTTGCGTTCACGGTTCTGTGTGACTGGCCTTATTTTTCGAGCGTGACGCATTATTTGAGGCCAATATTCTGCGTGAAATGTGATTCAGGAATTCTTGGTGATTGGCCTGAATATATCTTGGTGATTGACCTGTTTTTATCTGGGTAGTTGGTGATTGGGGGTGGGGGGGTATTCCCTACCCTCTTCAGAGGTACATTGGGTAGCAGTTTCTTAATCTTGAGGTCTTGTCAATTTCTGTGCAGACTGTCCCCACCCTCCACGCTGAGGTGCTGGAGTGGGAGAAGAAGTTCAAAGCCGTCCAGAACTGTGACGACCTCAGGGGAAAGATACAGGCCTTGAAAAACGAGATTGCCTGGGCCATTGTTATCGAATGTGAGGAGGTCAGTCAGCCATTTTGTTAAAAGGAGAATAAAGGATTGAATATTTTCAATAAGTAGATAAGATGCATCAGGTAATACATATAGTGCATTTCATATATTACTTGACTACATTAATCAGTCTTTTCAGTGTAGGACTTACAATGGATGAATAAAAGGTTATCCTTTTTCATTGGTTTCTAAATCTTACTTAACAGTATGTATTAGCAGCATACATTTAAAATGTGTATTTCGAAATACAATTATAAAACAAAGTATCATTATGCTATAGTCTGTTGAATGCAATTATGAAAGGAAGTATCATTATGTTATATTCTGTAATATGCAATTATGAAACAAAGTATCATTATGTTATATTCTGTAATATCATGTTTGATGTTGTATTCAGAGCCTGAAGCCCCTCACCAAGGCACACAGGGTAGAAGATGCTCGCACCCCAAAGTTTCAGCAGAAAGTGGATGAGTGTCAGGTAAGAAAAATGTTGGCTACAAATTATAAATTTATTTTAATTTTAAGGAGGAATGCACATGCAAGTTTGTATTAAGTAACATTTTTCGGTGTTTATCAAAATTTAGATTTGCATGTAAAAACAAATAAAGAGATACGTGTTTTCCACAGCTGGAATAATTTAGTCGACTTTTTGGCTGACTTCAGGCCAAACTGGATGAGTGCATGGTGGGACATAAAGAGATCCAAGACAAGCTGAAGACCTACAGCACCGAGGCACAGAAATTAGTGCCGCAGCACGCAGATGCCAAAAAGGTCCTCAGTGAAAAGAAAAAAGTAGTGCGAGCAGTACAGGTATGTGGTGGTTGGTTATTAACATACTGTGAATAATATTCTGGAATAGTGCTTGGAACTATATACTTTGTTTTATTTTAGCCATATTTGATAGAAATAGCCAAATCACAATTCCACAATTTCAGGCAAGTTACTCAGCAGTTACCCACATTATACTCGCACAGCAACATGAACTACTAAGCTACATGTATTCCAACTTTACCCAAGTACTTTATATTATGAGGGGGCATACCAGACAATTAAGCTGATAACACTGACTGCGCCTTGGCATGAATCCTACAGAGATAGATTTATCCTGCTGGCCAATTACTTTTCATCTGAACACAGCTTTAGATGTAGCAAGATGTGATTTTATTCCATTTTCCTATCTCAACAGATATGCTTTTGACAATTTTTTAAAAAAAGGGAAGTAGTCATATGCTTAAAAGTTATCAAGGTGATAATTCTTCATTCTTCTAGCTTGAAGAAAGGAAGATCCAGAGCGAATTACGGACAGTGACCAAGGACCGTGACCAAACCCTGGAGCGGATTAATGAAATCAGAAATAGGTAAGTGTGGATGAAAGCAGACATTTTGAAAACTTCAGCTTAGCTTAGCATTTAGGCTGACAGTTGTGAAAAATTTGCTGGACACAAGGATTTTTTTTTTTTTTTTTTCTTTTTTTTGGAGGCCTGGCTAAATTTGAAAATCACTACCCCTGTAACACAATTTGAAAAAAAATGATATTTTTCCAAATTTCAAATGGTGAATAGTATATATTTTGAAGAAAATCCCATCTTTTCTAAGTTTAAGATTATTTGATTTAAAAAAGATTAAAAAAGTAAAAAGGTGAGTGTCAAGTTAGCCCACCAGTAGTGATCACAAGCAGCCACCATTGGCTACCTGATGTGATCTGAAGTTTATACCTAAGCTGCTTTAGGCTCAGTAGGCTGATACCACTGAGCTATGGCTCACCCTGGAAAATACTGCTGATATCAAATATCATTAATCTACTGACTTGTGGTGCAATACAATGAGGAAGTGATGTCATTTAGATTGTTAGTTTGTCCAGTGGCCACTAGATGTCACCACGTGTGGAGTGGTGTAGTTTGACTTGTCTCCACCAGATGTCAGCAGTGTACAGCACTTTTTGGATTTCACAACACAGTCAGTATATTGATATAGATAAAACACTGCAATAGTTATTGAAGGTGAGCCATGGTCTAGTGGAATAACCACTGAGACTAAAGCATTGGACTGCTCCCCATACAAGCCCTGACACTAGGGTGGGGAAATCTACTGGACTGGCTTGACACTCACCTTTTTTT